AGGGATTTACCAATAAAATCAATAAACATTTGCAGACTGTTGGTAGTGATACTGTTGAGATAAGGTAGAGTTACAGGCCTGTTTGATCAATGTTTATTACAGGGCTCATACTTTTTTAATAGAAGTGGATTAGAAAAGTGTGGGGTTATTTCTCCTCCTGGCACTGGGTTCTTTAGGTTTCATATACACAGAAACTTTATCTGACTTGTTTCATTTAAATGTGTAAAAGTTATTGAAATTCAAAAGCATCCAGGTTTGAACTAAAAATTCCTTTCTTCACTCCCCCCAGGTTAATTTGTTGGCTTTTGGAGTGATTATTTATAAAGTATTTCGACACACTGCAATGTTAAAGCCAGAAGTTAGTTGCTATGAAAATATAAGGTAAGTTTGCCATTTAATACAAATTCTACCTTCTGTAAGTTTAAATACAGCCAGAGATTAAAATGAGTATTCAAAAAAAACAATTCAATCTTCAGGAGGTTTTGTAGAAAAATAAAGATTTTTTTTTTTTTTTCTGTTATCTTCTTACATAGGTTTGGAGGTAGGTTTTGCAATCTTTATTACCTCCTACAGTAACACTGGGACTGTGTGAGAGATGTGTATGGAATACAATGAGTGGCCTGTATCAACCTTTCTTTCTTAAGTATTTTACACAGCCTCTATGCAAGCCAAACCAGATTTCAAAACTTATGTCTGAACTGGGATCAAAATATTTGCCTTGAAGTAACAAGTAATACAGAGATAAGAGAATCAAGTCATTCATGTTATTAGTAAAAAGTCTACAGTAGGACATTGTGCTTCTGTGGCATGGGGGGGTGGGGAGGGTTCTCTCCAGGTTTTTTACTTTGCATGCTTCTATGATTTTTCCATCAACTCACTCTCTTTAAAACTGATTTATAGGGACCTTGAAAACCGTTTGTGCAGGAAAAGCTGAAGTGTACTACAGGGAACATTGAAAACAACTTACTGTTTGTGTTGCTTAGGAACACTCCTGCAGTTTCAATGCACTGCACTAGATTTATAGCTAGGATTTAGCAACTGTTTGATTGATTACTTTCTCTTATTCCTCACCCTTCATAGCTTCATGTGGTGAGCTGGTTTTAATGAAGTTGAAAATTATTCATTTTCAGAGGAACAGTGCTAAAAATGTCTGCTGTTCAAAGGAAGTCCTGCAATGACTGGGCTGAGAATGAATAAGAAAGTAATCAGTGGCTTAATTTCCAAGACAACACTCTATAATTTGCTCAAGTCTGTGAGAAGAGCTACACCATGTTAGAAAAAAAATAACAACATATCTAATCAGTTCCTATAATTTTATAGCATCAATATGCTGACCCAGGAACTGTTTGAGAGTATTTGTGTTCTAAAAACAATTATTTTTTTCCTAAAAGAGAAAGAATGAAAGCAAGTCTAGTTTTACGACTGGCACCGTCTTTTGCAGTGAACTTGAGAGGCAGCCTGGGAACCCTTTGATGTTATGCACATGTACTGACCTAAGAGCATACTGTACATTTTTCTGGGTTATTTTTGAGGAGGATAAGGGGGAGGACGAAAAGTGACGGAACGCTTCATAACAGACATATGTTTTTCCTTGGGGAATTACACTAACAGTAGATTTAAATCAAATCATATGGTGCGGCAGTACACCAGAGAGAACACATCTGAAGATTAAAGAAGCCAGTGTTTTAAGGCCCTCCAGTTTTACTCCTTAGCTCTTCTGCAGTTACTGTATGAGCTCATTCGTGCCACAGTGCTACAGCACACCCTAAAGAGCAGCCCATGCATTTGCACCTCTCAGGCCTTTGCAGCTGTGAAAAAAATTGCCTAGGCAGCATTCATCATCCAGAGCAGTAAAGGAAGGAACATAGCAGATGCCCACATGTTTGCAATGTTTCCTTCCTGTCCAGATCCTGTGCCCGAGGTGCTCTTGCTCTCCTGTTCCTTCTTGGGGCTACCTGGATCTTCGGGGTCCTCCATGTTGTCCAGGGATCTGTGGTTACTGCGTATCTTTTTACAATCTTCAATGCATTCCAGGGGATGTTCATCTTCATATTTCTTTGTGTGTTGTCTAGGAAGGTAAGTGTCCCATTTCCTGTGGGAAGCAACTCAGGCAGTCTCATGTACCTACAGGCAGATGCCCAGGCCTGCAGTGGAGCTGTGGTGCAAATGTTTTTTCCAGAGCAAGGGAGGAGGAAATCCTTGTATCACTGATGGGGGAGAGGAGGGAACAGGGGAAACTTTGCTGTTCACAGGAGACAGAACCTCTACCCGGTTTTTACCTTCTCACATATTTCCTCAGTTTTAAAACCAATGTAAGAAACACAGATAAATGCTCTTTTAAATAGTAAAACTGGTTATAGTGCCATTAACCTGCTGAAATCATGCAGTGTTTGCAATAAAACTCACTTCCAGTCTTTCCAGTTAGCTTCAGAATTCACCCATGCTATCCTGAGATGATATTTTCTTCAGTGTCCTGTCCTAAAGCCAAAGCAGCTCAGTCTTAAAACATGTAGTGATGGAAGCAGTACAAAATCAGTTAAAAGACATATAGACCTATTAATACATCTATTTCATATCTTAATTCAATATTTTTATTTCAGATTCAGGAAGAATATTATAGGTTGTTCAAAAATGTTCCTTGCTGTTTTGGCTGCTTGAGATAAACGGAAGGAAAACATGCATGAGCATCTCTGTGGAAGATGGGAGTAACCTAGATGATGTTGTGGTGGATGTTACAGAAAAATATGGTATTGTGAAGATATGAAATGACCCAATGAGCAAGTATGTCTATTGACTGAATTACTGACTGGTTTTGTATATATGTATGCCTTCATGCAGAGCATTTATATTATGCTGTATACAAACAGTATACAAAACTGATTATTGCAAAACAAATATTAATGAAGACCAGAGAAAGAAGCAAATTTCTAAAGAAGCTCAAGACTTTTCATTACTTAGATTTTGTTTCTAATATTAGAAATATCTGCAGCTCTTGAAAGCAAGATACTAAAAACCAACTGGCACAGCAGATTTTAGGAATTGCTTTGCTAGTGGAAACACGTTCACTGTCTTTTTCTAGTAATGAACTTCTTACATATAGTTGTATGTGGCCATCTGCAGGGAATGGATTCCATTAAAGAGTCAATAGATTAAGATCTGATCAGCCCAGACTTCTGAAAACTTTTATTTTAATTTAAAGTAGATTTAAAAAAGGAATTTGTTTAATAGTATTCTCTTATCACTCTGAAATTTATATTTGTATATTAATCATTTTTTTTATTTTTGTAACTTTTAAAGAACTGTTTAGATCTAAAGAGCTGAGGTCAGATCTGATAGAAGAATGATGGGACAGCTATTTTAGAAGTGAAATATTATTTTGTGAATACTTTGAAAAAGATCTGGTTCTTGTTTTATTTAATTGCCAAGACTGAGATCTGCTAAACTGGCACTATGATTTTGGAGGCTGTGGGAAGAAGATGCTTTCACAAGTTTGTCACTTGGTAGAGATATTTGGAATCCAACCCTTGTAGATCAAAAATAGAAGTGGTAGAAATCACCTATGCAGAAGTACAGAGATTTAAGTTCAAGATCATGTGCTTCCATACCACATAAAATTGTAATAACAGCAGTTTTCTCTATTTGTGGCATCTTTGAATCAAGCAGTTGGCATCCTCTGGCTGCTGGTTTTGAAACACTTATCTTGTGCTTAACTATAGGAGCCATCCATGGCTCTCCTGAAATCAAAGGGAGTACCTGAGGTGTAAGTTTTGTTGGATCAAGTCATAAACACAGTCAGGTCATCAGCAGTTCCACCTTTGCCATCTTACTTATTTTAAAATACTTTTAAAAGTATGTTTTAATTTCACCTTTTTAGCGCCAAGCTTGTGAGAAGTGCTGAGCAATCCTCAGTCCTTGTTGCCTTCTCAGGAAGTGTCTAGGATCTCAGATGAAGCCCAGTATTTTTACCAATGAGGCTTTGTAAATACGTAGCTGTTAATAAATCCCACTGTTGTGTTGTCTGTTAAAATAAAACCCTACTCTGGAATTTTATTTATATTAAAGGAAACCTTTTTTTGGTAATGGTCAAATTTGTTTATCTTTTTTTTCCATATACACAAGGTTTTCATTGTATGCACTGCAGTGCCATGCTTCATTAACTAGTTTTCGTGACTATCAAAATTTTGGAAACCACAAGACAGGGTTTTTTTCCTGAAAAAAAAAAAAAGCTCTTGGTCCTTGGTCATATGTAAAATATGTGAATAAACTGAAGTGCTTAGCTTTCACATTTCAACATGTTTCCCTTCATTTAAATACAGTGGCAAAAGTTCCCAGGGTTATATATTATATCCCCTGAATTATTTCTGCTGCTGTTGGATATGTTCTTCCAGGTTTTAGAAGTGGCAGGTACATATTACTTAAAAGAGTATTTTTAGAAGTATGTCTACTAATACATCATTTTTAATCTCCTGCAGAAATGTAACCTATAGTAAGTCTGTCTGGACAAAGAAGCATCTCTAGTAACTATATAATGACTTCAGACCGCTCAGTGAGATTGAAAAAGTTCCTTGGAAAGAAAATATATCATAAAGTGTTTACATTACAATAGTCTTTTTAATGACAGAACATCTTACATAGCAAAACTGTGCTCTCCAGTCTCTGGGTCAGATCTTCATTGAAACTCTGTATTCCTTACATGCAAGGATGACTTTTCATCTTTTAATACAACACATAAGGAGCAGAAAAATTTTGTTTAGATTCATTGCCTTAGTGCCTGAAAGACATTGTAATTGTCCTCTCTAATGAATGAAGAAATACAAGAAATAAAAGGGTTTCTTTGTCGCAGCCCTTAGTATTATGAGCTGCAGCCCAGCAGAGACAGAGGAGAGAAAATGGACTGAAAAAAAGAGAGGTTTCAGCAAGATAGGAGGAAAAACCTTTTCACTGTGAGGATAGTCAGGTTTTGGAAATGGTTGCCCAGAGTGTTTGTGTAGTTGTGTTGAAATCTTTGGAGTTTTTTTAAGACTGGATAAAGCCCCCAGCAACCTGATATCATACCTGACCCTGCTTTGAGAAGGAAGACAGATGAGAGGATGCTCGGAGGTCCCTTCCAGCCTGATTTTTTCTGAATTTATGACATGAAATACCAAATCAGAAAAATAAGCTGGACACTAGTTATGATTCTGTTAAGCAAACTTGCACTCAAGTACTGTGCATCAGCTGAACAAACTGTTTTTTCCAAAAGTAAAGTAATGACATATTTGTCAGGTCAACCGCTAACTAGTTGACCGGTTTGAAAAATAAAAATAAACCAACCAACCAAACAAAAAAAAACCCAAACAAAAAAAACCCCTTTGTTCAGAATCTTTTCAGATTACATGCTTTTGAGAGGCTTATGACATCTCCAGGTAGGGCCAACAGGAAAAGAAATAAAAAATTCAATGATTGACAAGACGGATAAAAAGTAAAATTTTATGATTTCACTCTGAAAGCAAGTGCTTGCTGAAGAGAGAAATTGTTTCCATTAAACCAATCAAAGAGAAATTTGTGTTCAGTGTTGCATTTCAAGGTGTGCTTCAGAATATAATAAATAAGGTCTGGATTAAGAAAGACTGCTTTATTCTGAAATAATTATTTCCTCAAAGAATTAGAAGTGCATTTCAAAGAAACCACAACATTGAGGAGTTAATTATCATCACAGCCTTTGGGAGGTTCAGTCTGCTAGAGCTGTGGTGATGAACTGATCGTCTGTGCTCTTTACCTACTGGAGTGAAGCAGGTAGGCTTTGAAAATGTTACATACCGTTCAAATATATTTCAGACTTTCCTTCACTCTCCAGTGGTCACAGTCCTTCAAATCAGAACGTGGTGGTGCCCAGAAGCCACAGACTTGCAAACCCATGCATGTTATTGACCAGCCATATAAAGCAATTTTGCATATATTTTGACGTTAGGCAGAATGAACAAATATTTGCAGGGATGGTTCCTCTGACTGCTACATGTCCAGCATCACTTTCCCCACTGGTAATATCACTTTTTATATCTTAGTCATGGTAGTTTCTTATAGCCTAGTTTAGAATCACACTCTTTCCACATGCCAGTTACTCACAGGAGAAATCCTACCTCCTTCTTTTAAACTTCTATTGATGAGATTAAAAAGCCACAACTTAACCATGACAAATTTAAAACTCTGTGTCTTTTGGGAACAGAGCTGGTGGGAGGAGGGCTCCTAGCCAACAACCTGCTCCAGCCTGTGATATTCTTCTCATTCTGTTCTCATACATTCAGGACACAAAGCACTACTGAGGTGTGAGATAACAGAAGTGAAGATGCTACCTCACCAAAGTCATCCCCCAAAGCTATTTTTATATAAAAAGTTTTTTAAATGGATGCAGGCTTGAAAACAGCTGGTCATAAATGCATTGATACTCCATTTAACCACAACCATAATGTCAAGTGCAAATGTGCTTAAAGCATTTTCACAAGCTGCCTGACTCCCCGCCAGCTCAGCTCTCACGGCCATTGCTGTGGGCAGCCTGTCCGCATAGGCTGCAGCCACGTAAAAGACTGTGCTGCCTTTTTCAGACTCTCTGTCTCCATGACAACCCTCCTGAATAAACCCAACTGAGAACCAAGAGCCTTTGCAATATCCACACTTCACCAGGAGCCGGATACATGGGCACATGTAGTACCTGGAGGTCCTGGAACTGCTACCTTGATATGAACTGCAAGATGTCATGAACAGAAAGTATCATAATTCCATCAACTTTACTGTTACACAGCAAAATTGACAGCAGCAATTCTACTGGGTGAAAAGAACAAAGTATGAAAACTCCTCATACAACAAAAAGTAGCAGTAAAACTGACTGCTGAGAACGTACTATTTTCTTTCAAACTGGAAGAACAAATAAAATGCTTAAAAAGCATACAGAAATTATCATGAAACATAAACATGACATTTCACTGATTACATTTTATGATAACAAGACCTTGTTTTTTATAGAAGCCTTATTTTTACATCTTCCCAATACAGGGTTGAACTTTTCCCAGAAGTACTTTTTCAGAGCTATCCCTTTAAATATAGCAAAACCTTTGCTTCTACAGACTTTGTTTTACAGCTCTTTGGGTTTTTCTTGTTTTGCTGGTAGGTACTAAAATCACTGAAGTGCAATAGGCACCTCCCTCTAATGTAAGCCATTGTATTTATTGTAACTATTTATATAAATGCTGCAGTCAGCTCTGAATTCACATAAACCTAACACCATTGAAATTAATTTTGTAAGACTTTTGTGAGTGAATAATTTAGTCAAATCCAAGTTGATTATAAACAGTTCTTCTTTACAATAACTAAGTTTGAAATCTGTGTTTTTAAGAGGCAATCCACTTTATCTTGTAAAATGTGATGGGAAATACTGTCTCTCCAATACCCATAATCAGTTACATTTTAACCTGGGCAGGGATATTTTCCTTCTGTGTTTGGCCCACCATTATGAGGCCTAATGTTGAGTTAAAGGCAGCAGTCTTCAAAATCCCATCCCCTCTTTGACTGTTTCTACACTAAACAGACTTGTGGCACCACCTTGGCTTTTGATGGGTTCCAGAAATAATTGTTGATGATACAGTAAATTTGTTTTCTATCCCTTGGGTTTAAATCCCAGTCATGCATTTACTCAGTTTTATGCATGACTAAGTCTTTGGTGTTAATGAGACTGCTCATGTGCATAAAGTTAAGCATATGTGCAAGTATTGCATGATCAGGGTCTTAGGATGCCAATTTACA